TTGGTCTAGGGTCACTGTAACAAAATTACTGAGCCACTGAGGGCATTTGTATACCAGGAGTCTACTCAACACACACAGGATAAAGCGTGGATAGGTAGGGCAGCCAGGAACCATTGATTGAACAAAGCTCAGAAACTGTGCTTAACTTCAATGAACTGTTTTAACTGAATGAAGAGACAGACTTGTTCCCAGAGTTACAGTCCTTGTCTACAGCAGTCATTCATTTATTCAGCAATAGTTGCTGTCCGCCTCTTCTGCCCTAGCTGTGCTAGACTCTGGGAATACAGTGAAGGGCAGGATAGATAGAAATGACCCCTGTCCTCATATACTCACAGCTTGAAGTTAATAACCAAAGTGATCACAAATGTTTTCATTGTATTTTAATGCAAATAAACAGGGCAATGTGATCAAGAAAATCAGAGGGTGCAAGCGGTCAGGATGGCCAGGGAAGGGCTTCGCGTTGAGGTGACCTTCAAGCTGGAACTTGAAGGACAAGGGAGGGCCAGCCCTCTACAGAGAGCTGGCAGAAAGACCAAATGGAAACTTCACAAGATGAAGGGGGAAACGGGAACACAGGGGACCCTTCATCTCTCCAGGGCCTCCTGTTTCCTATGAGGATCCCCAACCCTATTTTTTGTTAAGGCTCTGGCTGTATAGTTGGCAAACAGAAAGTGAGAGATCAATGTTGACTGACCTTTCCTCTTCCTCCTACGAAGCTGCATTTGTAAACTGGTTACCTTGTTTTTTTCCTTCTGTTTCCTACTTCTGGTCCTGCCTACCTCTATTCTTCACTTTTTTCCTTGGTTTTCTATGTTTAATCACATGGATAAATATGTCATGCAGTGTGTAATACCCCCTTCCACATTCTTGGCAATGACATCTAAAGAATAATGGCTCAAAAATAGCACGCAAGTAGAAGATATGTAATGAATACCCAGTATGCATTGATCGGCTAGAAGCTTGGTGATCCGTATTGATTAAATCAGATGCTGGAGAAATGGAGTGTGACCCTTAATTTGGCTGCAGTGAATCTGAGACAGAAGAATAATAATATAGAAAGCAGCAGCTTCTCCTTGCTCTAGGCTGGTTAACAGTTAGGGAAGGAAGATCCAAATCTCTATTTTAGGTAAAGTATTGAAATTACCAGTGAAATTTCTATTCTAAAGGAAAAAGGCCAGCATAAAAAAGAATTTTAAAAAGGGAGTAGGGAAAAAAATCACACAAATAAATTTAAAGCTGAAAAGTGAGCTTTCATTTTAGCCTTATTTAGTGTGGCTACTTTAGTTAATTAAGAAGCTTAGACTTTGTGTAGGCAATTGAGAATCCACTGTAGTTTTCTTAAGGAGGGCAAAGATATGATCAGATTTGTGCTTTAAAAGGATAACTGGCAAGGCAGTGAGGAGGTTGGGGCAAGATAAACCAGGAAGTGGACAGTTCGTAATGCAGGACAGTGAGGGACTGAGGAGAGCAGGCAGAGTCAGGTGGAAAGGCGTAGGCCTCGGCAATTATGTGAAAGGGACAGAGCGTGGAGAGAAAGAAGGAAAGTGAATCAGCACACCTCTCAGATTTCTAGCTGGAGTGAAATGGTGGATAAAGGTGCCCGCTGAGATGAGGGATGAAGAGTACCAGAGTGGAAGGAAGTCTGGGGAGGAAACATTACATTTAATTTTGGATTTTACAGCTTGAAGTGCTTGTGGGACAATTTTAAGATTTATTTTCTTGACTGTAGGGTTATTCCCAACCCACCTTTTCCCTGCCTCATGTAGCCCCTCCCTGCACTAAGAAATCTTAGGATCTTCTTATTGTAGTAGAATTATCCAGCTTATAGGTTTTCATGACCGGGCAGCATGAAATCTGAATGAACATCGTGTATGTGGGTATTTGACGTGCCCGCCAAATGCTGGCTGCCTCCTTTCCAGGCTGCCGTAGTACCTTCAAGGTAAAGAAAGCCTGTCGCTTTGCTGTAGTAGATGTGTGATATTTCGGATACAGATATCAATTTTATAAGCAAAAAGCTTAAAGCAATGAAAATAAATACTTAAGAAATTCCTTCCTTGGAAATACAGCTGTGCTCCCTCTTCTGGGGCAGGCTGGGTCTCTGCTGGCAAATGGGCCGCCCTGCTCTTGTTTACTGAGAAGTCCCCTTTGTCAGGAATGCCTGCCTCCTCATCCCACCCTTAATATGCAGTCTAACCTTAAATTAGAGCCTTATGTTCTCCATCCCAGACCAACCACGTGATCCTATTTTACATGAATTCCCTGATCACGTCCTGTGCACTCAGCGTGTCCGGCGGGGCTTAGTGAGGTGGATTACGGACACATTTTGTGTTTCTGTTGTCCCTCTCACAGTGGTTAGCACAGTGTCACATACATAGTTGGTGTTTAATAAAGGCAACAAATTGATGCTTTGAAATGCAGATTTGTAAAAGAGTTTTGCCTATCTACAGTTGTGAGTCATTATAGAAACTTCAAACGTACTCATCCCAATTATGTCCCTAACGAAGGTAAAAGGTGATAACCAGATTAGCGGAAGAGTCGATGAAACAGTAGAGGTGGTGAAATGAAGTTGGGTTCTTTCAGACCACACAAATCAATAAGGTTGACTGACTTTCTAACCCTTTCTAAAATACAGGCGTTAAGCTTCATGTGACTAACCCTGACCTAACCCTAAATTTCAGAACCCTCAGCCATTACCCTAAATTTTAAACTTATCTCCCATTTTTGTTGTTAATAGTAGTGCTTCCTATAAAGATTGTAATCCAAACACAAAAAACAGCTAAAAAAAACCCAAAAAACACACACACAACTGTGCTCTGAATCTGAGTAGGAATTTTATGAGATTTGCAGAATAAAAAAATCTTTGGTTAGTTTTTCCTAATGACTGGTTCAATAAAAATTTGGTGCAGCCAAAAGAATAATGTGCTCACTGGCCAGGCCTAGCTGGTGATGAAATTCATTCTGTGGGTATGGGAATGTTTGGATCTGTAGTCATGATTTTAGACCAGGAGGGCATCATTTATCTGTGATTTATTAAATGCACCCCTCATAGTTTGAAAGAATAGAGGCATCATTTGTAGTTTTGGGGAAAAAAATGCACTTATCAAGGAAGATCTATTACGTTTACAAAAAAAAAACAAAAACAAAAACAAAAAACCCGTGTCATTTAAAATTCCAAAAAAATCCAAACCACACTGGCAATTACCAATAACCTTCAAATACCTCCACTGTAATCTCCTTTGGGGCCACCGGCCACTTGTGTTCATATTTTTCCTTCACAGTTTGCTCCGTGTTACCACTTGGATTTGAATTCTCAACACGTACTCCATGGCTTGGCTTACCCACCAGATTTTGAACAGATTTTACCATATTCTTTAAATCCTCTGGGTAAGGAGTTGGATATCGTTTTAGGTTTATTTCAACCTAGAAGTTTATAAAAAGAAATTTACATAAAAATAACTTCAGCGAGCATGTTCACAAAATGACCCCATTTTCTGTGCAGTAGCGTAATAACCAAATGCAATACAGTGAGTGTCCAGCTGGCCAAGAGAAGGCCACAGAGAGCAGCTCAGAGTGTTCCCAGGTCCAGCCTCCTGGGCCACTTCCTACCCTTCCCACCTGTCTAGATTATAAACAGGATTATAGCCTATCTTTAGACCCACCCTGGAGATGGCTGACATGGCAGTCTGTCTGACAGTTAAGTGACCGTTAATCTCTGAGAAATTTGACCAACTTAGTATCAGCTGCTTTCATACTTTATAGACAGTTCCTTTCCCTATCTTAGTTATTTGTTAAGATAATTGTCATGTTAAGAATATCCTTGGAGTACTAATGCAGGTGACGAGAGGAGACCCCAAGAGATTTACAGGTAGAGTTACGTATTAAAAAATAGACCTGGACAGTACCTGCTGCCCAAGCAGACATTAGCTTTATGCTAATTAACATATTACATCACAAGGCAGGAGACTTCGTTCTTGCCAATACCTAAGGAAAAAAATGCTTCAGGGTGGTTTTTATACTTAGTAGTTTTTACCCTTAGAAAATAACCTGTTTCTTGGGTAATATCTTATAATAAAGAAGATTAAAAGATTGAGAATATTTTTAAAGATAATTTAGGCAAACATGTAAATTCTGGCTTTTACTTATCCAGCTATTTATTTCTATTCTTGAACTCATTTCGGGGGGGAGGTAATCAACCTTCTTGGGAGCACATATCAATTGCTATTCTTAGCACCAAATTTAGTAAGAGAAATTTGAGACATTCTATATAGAATATCCCACATCAGAGGATTTATTACCATACATTTAACATACAATAAATAGAGTTTTCTATGCTGACTCAAAGGGAGTGGGAGAAAAAATCAGGGCAGATATCCTCGCCCTGGCTGCTCCAACTACCGTGTCTTGCTGCATCTGAGTAGAACCAACTTTACAGAATGGGATGGTTTCCGTGGTTGTGGTGAGTATGTGTCTGTGGGAAGTGTGTGTCTGGGGGTTGGGGTGGTGGAGAAGAGGTGGAAAAGGAGCTGAAGAGGAAGAAGAAGAGTAGGGAAAGAGAAAGGAGAAGAGGCAGGGACACACACACACCCCCACCATGTAGTTCATGGGATGTAAGAAGCTATGACGGTGGTACAGATCTGAGGATTATGAATACAAATTCAAACACTTTTGCTCATCTGCAGTTTTAGCAAATCCACCAACTTTGTCATTTTTCTTAGTATTTTGTCTTCCTAGTGGCTCATCAAATACTGGGATTAGACTCTAAGAGATGATTTTTAACAGTCCTTTCCATACTAAAAGTATAACATTTGTCCAATAAACATTTGGAAAGCAGATGAAAATCCAGGTAATTTTGTTAGTGTATTGTCTAAATGTAGTTTAATCTCAAATAAGCTCAAATAAGAAATTGAGACTATATAAAAATAAAGCTACAAAAACCCAAGACAAACTTAGACTTCATAGAAAAAACAGTGTAAGTTTTTAGGGCATATCACATGTGTAAATACATCCCAGAGTGTGTAAGTTCCTAATGCACACGTGTAAATACATCCCAGAGTGTGTAAGTTCCTAATGCACATGTGTAAATACGTCCCAGAGTGTGTAAATTCCTAATGCACACGTGTAAATATGTCCCGGAGTGTGTAAGTTCCTAACGCACACGTGTAAATACGTCCCGGAGTGCGTAAGTTCCTAATGCACAGGTGCAAATACATCCGGGAGTATGTAAGTTCCTAATGCATTCTAAGTCACCATCAAAGGATGAAATCCACGCTGGGCAAGTTAACTGGGATGCATGGATTCTTGGATCTGTTTCAATTGGTATTAGAAATATTAATCACAAATTAAATTTAAGTTTTAAATTATAGTGTTATACTTGTTTAAAAGTACTTGACATCAAAGGGCTAAAAGTAAAAAAATTACATTAAAAATAAATTGTAAAGGCTATGATTATCATCCCAATTAAGAACATATTTTTATTTTTAATAATTAGTGGTATATGAATGAAAAATAAGTGAAAATGTGGCATTAAATTAAAATTCTATGCAACATAAAAATCCTCAACACTAAAATTATAAATTGAATGGAAAGCAAAAGAAATGTCTCCTTTCTTAATTGGATTAAATGCTTCACTGAATAACATAATCTATTTTTCTAGATGGTATGGCCCATCTGACACAATTAGGTAATTATTGACTAATGGCCAATATCTTCTGATTATTTTATAAGGAAGTAAATGTGATATTTTGGTCACATCACCAGAATATGTTTAAATATTTTATTTCTGTGACAATATTCAAATCTAGAAACTGATTTAACATGTAGTTAAAGAGGATTAAACTCTACACTTCTCCCCAAGTCTTGTGAGGGCCCTGTTAAGATATTACATGGCAGTTTATATTCTTTTCTTAAAAAAGACAACTCAAAATGTGGAAGCTTCAGGTCTCATAAAGTATGGATTTGTTTCACATTGAAAATAAGTTTCTTATTTCCCATTTATTAGTCTACTAGAAAAACTTACTGGAGGTGGAGTCAAGAGATTGAAATTTAAGCCACAAATGTATCCCAACTAGCTACCAGCCACTGACCATTCTTTTTGACATCTCTACTCATGTAAAATGGGAATGATATCTTTCCCATGCACTTGAGTCTATCTGGAGCTAACATGAGAAAAATGTGAAGGTTGTTCCTTGGAAAATTTATAAGTTCTATGTAGAGATTAGATACTATTTTTAACATCAGATTTTACTTATGTATCTTAAAATCTAGATTCTTTAGATAATCTAGACTCTATGCTGTATACGTCTGGCCATAATATCTGTAACGTGTATTTATCTTTTTTCCAGCAACATACATAAATTATCATTTGTTTGATATTTACCATGCGCCAGGCACCATGTTCAATATTTTTATAGGGATACTTACTTTATTTTTAATTATTTATATATTAATAATGATAGATATTCTATGAGCTTAAATATAAATTAATATTTATATACTAAATAAATGATTAATAACACATTATTATAGAATTTATCATTAATTTATAACTTAATCTCATTTAAAAATTTCACAACCTACTGCAGCAGCTTTTCCTACTTTATAGAAAGAAAACTAAGGCTCGGTCAGTGTGAGTGACTTGCCGGAGGTCAGACAGCTGGTGGGTTCAATGCCTCGGGCCCAACTCAGGTCTCTTTTGACCTCAAGGCTTGTGTTACACAAGTGTTCCTCATCTCAGAGGTAGGCCCAGGCATGGGTGGAGCATATAACTTGTATAATATTAGAGAAGAAATACACTAAGTTTAGAATGTGAATTCTGTCCAGGTAAATAATAAAATCACTTCATTTTTTTTCAGAATAAAGCTAAGTAATGGAATATTTTGCAATTTTAAAAAAAGTTATGTTTGTAAGCTCATTGAAAGCATATTTTATGTACTTTTAACTTATTTTGTTTGCCTACTTTTCACCTCATGCATGCGGTACTTCAGAAATAAATAAATATGATCCCAACCCAGTTATACTGATGGCTTGGTAATACCCAAATACAAATACATCAGCTATAAGTATTCCCTTATTTTAACCAGTATGGAAGAAGTTATAAATTCATTTATTAAACATAGGTGGGAAAATCCACCAATTATTTTTCTTGCAAAAGTGTTGTGTTTACCACTCACTATAAAGTATTTGCTCATTTCACATATACATGTTATTAAAATGATATTTTTACCAAAATATTATTTTATTTTAATTTTGGAAAATAGAAATATTTCATAACATTCTGTGAATGTCAGGTCTATGTAAAGTGTAGTAAATGCAAATAGCAGCTGCGAGATATTGGAGTTCCCCCCAAATTTAGCAATGAAGACAGAATTACAAAATGATAATAGCTCGGGCATTTAGAAATGATATCTTTATTTCACACAGAACTGTGCTTGTTATTTTATAATATATTATATGCATATAATATATTATATTTTATATCATGATCAAATTCTGATTTGATTTGATTATAAATTCCAGTAAGAGAAATAATAGTTAATGCTTTGATCATTGATTGTTAATTATCTTATTCTAGGAATTAATTGGAAAGGTTTACAAAAAAAGGAAACTTATACAGCAAGTTCAGTTAGAAAAACGCATTCCCAGCTTGCCTTATATTATAGAAAGAATATAAGACACCAGACAAAAATCTAGTCCATTACATGTGGATAGGAAAGTTTACAAAAAATGTACTGTTCTTTCATGGTCCCTTAAGACACGACCTTTCTCCCCACTGACTTCCTAAAACATCTGAGGCCTGAAATCACAAAGCCCTGTTGGCCACATCTCCCTGCCAGTGTTCTCTTACAGGAATTCATATCATCCCTGGCCTTTAAATTAAAGGAAATGGATGCTTTTCAGCATGCGTTCGTCTTTGTGCTCAAAGTCCATTTCCAGCAGATCTCAATTTAAATCTCATGCTATTTCAAGAATCAAGTTTTGGCTATTTAATCTCTTCTGGAATGGACATTATAAAAAATGTGCATCTGTGTGGAGGGACAATTCAGAGCGCATCGATAGCGCTGCCAACACTCTGCCCGACTATTGGTATTCCCACACTTTAAAGACAAAAATGTTTTAAAAAAGACAAATAAAAATGAAGAGCCCATCTCAAAAACCATGCCAGATATCCCACCAATAGGCACCTCACAGCCATGGTCCCTCCCCTCTGACTCAGTCCTTCCCACCCTGTTGCCAATGTCAATAAACAAAAAATTAAATCAGGATCAAACACTGGCAATTTAGAAGTTCCTGTGTGATCCATGTGTTTTCCCCCAAATCATGCAGGACATACCCCATAAACCACTGTTCTAAGGTTGCCTCTACACAGGGGTTTTCCTGCCCCAGCACCTAGGCCTACCTGTCTGCCACTTAGAGAGGGAAGAGTGGTGGACTGTGCTGCCACTGGCAATGGAGTGCACAGGGTCCTGTCCTGCTGGAGGCCACTGATACAACCCCATGCCAGCTGGGGGTCATTCTGGGGGACGGGCATATCTTGGATCTGCTGATCACACCTGGCCCATGGTGTGCAGCAGTCGCCAGACAGTCTGGCAGGTTGGAGAGTAATCCCACGCTGGCCCCTGTCCCAGGGGGCTTGGCAGGTGAGATCCTGTGGGAGAAGGAATCTCCATTTTCTGGGAGAAAGAGGAGCACTGTAGCAACACTTTACCATTTTTCTACTCTCGATTTTTTTTTTCTTTCATCCTGGGTAATGCATTTAAAACAACCATCATGAAATCAGTTTTAAATCCATGGACTAAGACAATACCAATGTTATAGGAAGCTAAAGGGTCACAACTTCTCCACCCAGTGCAGCGCTCACACTACTCTGGAACTGGGGCATTATCCTCTGTCCCTTTGAAAGTCAACAGCACCGGTCAGTGTTTCCTCTTTATAGTTCATGTAAATTAAAGGTAAAATGGTGCTAAATTTAACATACATGTAATGAACCAGAAAAGTATGATTAATTTCGTATAAGATTGCAATACTTTCCAATCATCATGCCTCCATGATGATTTATTTAGAAGTTTGTTTGTGCTCTAATTTGTCCAACGGCCAGTGGCATTGGAAATACTCAAATTAGTCGAAGTAGTTTGTGATTTCGGAAACACACCCTGTTTCACCAATATGTAAATGAACCAAATATAAATTAACATAGAGAAAAAAAAAACCATTCTAAAGTATAATGAACCCACTCTGACTATACACAACCCTGATCCCACAGCACACAAACAGGGCTTCTAAATAATAGTTTGCATTTACTAAATGCTCTGTTTTCATTGTCACATACACTAGAGTATGTTAAGTGTCCTCTTTTTCTTCTTGGATCATTTAAATATGGATTTTTTTTTTTTAGGAAGACACATGTAGTTTTTGACAATTCAATGAAATATCAAAATGCATCAAGGTCCAGTAGAGAATGCATCATCTTTTGGTTCTGGATTTAACACATGAAATTCTTAAAAGAAGAACTGAAATGTTCCAAAGGTTTATTTGTTTGCTTTCAGTTCAGCATTATTTTTTTTCTAGGAATTCCCAAGTTTAAAAAAATGTCTCTTTGGTTGTTAGATGTCACTAACCAACCATCATGAAACATTATTTTTAAAACCTAAATAGTTAATGAATCGTTACTTTGGATTTGGGAATCCATTTTGGGCTCTCCATAATGAGATAAGTAGGTCTTGTGAATAAGTACTTAATTACCTCATCACCTAATTCTAATAAGGTTCTATGTGTATTGCTTTAAGTCTAGAAAGTTTGGGAAGGAGGGGTTATAGAACACAGCACACAATGTAGATTTATTAATGGTA